CTTTTCTTTTCTTTTCTTTTCTTTTCTTTTCTTTTCTTTTCTTTTCTGTCTCTTCTTCCCTGCCCCCACCTCTCTCTTTCTTACTTCAGCAAGACATCTAGTTTCTGTTTAGTTTGGTTTTCCCTCTTTGTACCTCAGCCCAGAATCTGCCTTCAGGCAGAGTGTCTCTTAGGAGCCAAAGTCCTATGATCTGTTGCCCAATGTCTGAGGGAAATTTTTTTTTTTCGCTTCATATGTTTTGTCTGATTTTTAAGTTGTTTACAGGAGTAAAATAATTCTTGTAAGTGGTTAATTCTTCCGGGCAGTAGCAGAAGTTCTATGAATCACAAAATAACTTGCTAATAGACAGTGGTCATGTGAGCAGAAATAAATAGGATTATTTATATTAAAAATTAAATAAGAAGGTTAATAAACAGGCTATAGGACTATTGAATGTCCCATAAAACACTGTCTTGGAAAAGAATTTTTGCAGTTGTCTGTTAAATGAATGGTAAGCGCATGGCCTTGGGGCTGTTACTGTGTGTAGCCTTAACATAGCTTTATGTGCAGGCATGTGAGGTGGATTTGCTTTACCGAGGGCTTGTCAGACTTTACTGCCCGAGCCTTGCGTTCTAACTCTACCTTATGTCCTGATGTTCTCCATTATCCCCTCTGACTGACCCTCCTGCGCCCTCGGTAAACTCTATGAACCCTTCAGCAGTCCTCTATTCAATGGCCAAGCCCGTCACTATTTCAGAACACAGCTTAGGAGCTGGAACACATCTGTGGTTGCTCGCTTGTGAATTTCTGTGTCTAAGTGCCATCCTTGGGATTGGATATGGCAATCTAATATTGTAGTACAGAAGGTCCCTGTACTGGGTATTTGTGGACCAGAGGGTTTCTCAAGGCGTGGTTCCCAAAGCTGTGCTTCTCTGGGTCCCCTCCACTAGGTGATGTGTAGGATGTCTTTTCCAGGGAGCCTCAATCTGGCCCATGATGGGGACAGTTGGCAATGACTGCAGACATTGGTGGTTGTTGAAACTGGTAGGAGAGTGCCAGGCACACTGCCAAACATCTTGTCTGCACAGGATGCTCCAGACAGCAAGACATTACCAGGCCGTAAATTTGTGTCTTTGGTTTACCAAAATGATGGGAAAGACAATATAAAAACCACATCCCCTTCCAGACTATCATGATGTAGGCCGCCCCATGACTTGTGACATTGCCCAGTGCTAGAAGACTAAGTAGGGAATGTCTGGAAAGGAGAGAGAGAGAGAGAGAGAGAGAGAGAGAGAGAGAGAGAGAACCTTTTCACTCGTGGTTCCAACAAAATTAGGATGCGAATAGCCATGCCTTGTTTGCTTCTTGATTTTATATTCCGTCATCTGTCCAGACTGCACAAGAATTCAAAGGCTCGAGGGGAGACAGTGGACTTTAGTTTTCCCGTGACTGCTCTGTCATGAAGCTGGTTAATAATTCAGGAACATAGTAGAGGCCAGTGACTGGGCGACACCTGGTGCTGTATTGTCCACGTCTGAGCACACAAACTCTAAAGATGACATTCTGCACCTGTCTCCATTGTTCTGCCTTAATCATGGCTCTAGTGTTCGGTGACTATTGATTAGGAGTAATTAATATTTGTCCAGATTTCCTCCACAAAGAATCCTGTGGCGGGAGCTTTCAAAAGCACAAAGCCAAGAAATGGCACCCTCTTTCGTTCCCTCTGTTAACCCCAAATCTGTTTTCTCTGTTAAAGAATGGATTTTGATAGCTATTCTTCTGCCCTTTGCTATTTCGGAACATGAGCCAGTTCAAGCCAAATTAGAAATGGCTAGTTCAAGCCAAATTAGAATATACAAATTCAGGTTTATAGAGGCAGCTCTGGGGCTGGTTCATGGATCTCAAAGGCAGAGATCCATGAAGTCCCCATTTATGGGGAGGGGAGGGGTGAAGGGGCATGCTCTGGGGGAGAGGAAGCCCCACCCCAGGGCTGGAAAGTTCAAGGTAGAGGGAGGTGTATTCCAGCCATGCCCTGTAGGGACTGAGGGATGCCGGGAGAACCTGGAGACCAGGTCCACTTTGGCAAATGGGTGCCTAGGCTGCTTGTCCTGGATCTGAATCCCAACGGATTGGTTTTAAAAACTAGAGATAAGACCCAAGCGTGTCCAGCCTGTGACCCATGGACCACAGGCGCCACCTTCTTCTCTCTCTCCCTCCCCTTCCTCTCATCCTCATCTTGCTTTGTAGCCAGGCTGGCCAACTCTTGCGCAGCCTCCGGAGCACTGAGATTACAGGAGTCTGCCTTGGCTTCTTTTCAGCTCGCAGTATCCATATTACGAGTATTTTCTGAGAGAAATAACGCCTCCTCATGCAGTTTCTCAGGCCCTCTCCCTGAGACCCGACTAGCCCTTGGCACCTCAGTCATTCTGACAATTTAAAAACCAGTACGAGCTCTGGGCAATCCAGCTGTCTGGACATGGAAGGCTCTTCCACACCCTGAGAGACGAGAGACAACATGGGCACTCCACCCAGAATGACCTAGAACTGAACAGAGCCTAAGTCAGGAGCTGTGTGGAAAGAGCTTAGGACACGAGTTTAGGGGAGAGAAAAGGGGAAGATGCACCGTATGACTAAAAAGTGGATTTTTTTTAAAGAGCTTGACCGTTAAATAGCTCTGGAATGTGCAGAGCTTTTTACCTAGAGATTAGGAAATGAACTTTATCTCTGCTTCGAAAGTATCCATTACAATGAGTTTTAAATATATTTATTAAGATATTTTCTAGTTTAAGGTCCTGTGGTATTTATAAGAATGCACGTGATAGAATGTAGCAGTGTATCATTAAGACAGTGAACACATTTTAAGCCTGTGTGTGCATGTTTGTTAGCTGGTCCAACTGCTTTCCTCCAGGGCCCGGCGTGGGAGCACTTGGAGCACTGATTGCCCTCTGCTGGTGAACCAGAATCAACACACTGTACGACCCGAGACGCCCACTCTTGAGCGTGTGGTACCTACCCACCAGCACCAAGGGGCCAGCTGAAGAATGTCTGGTGTTCAAATACGCCCGATGAAGGAGTCTAGTGAAACAACTCTTCGCTTGTCCTTGAACCCCCTTATCACCCTGGATTTGGAGTCTGGAGGCTGCTCTGAGATGGGGCCTCTGACGGGAAGGTTTGACTTGTTTCTGAGCATTAGTGAAAAGTCAGCTTCCTTGCCTTGGAGTAGCCAAGCCTGAGTAGGTGCCCAGAGAGGAAGCCTGTTGTGGTGACATGGAGCCGGAAATCAACTGCTCTGAATTTTGCGACAGTTTTCCTGGCCGGGAGCTGGATAGGAGACCCCTTCATGATCTTTGCAAGACAACCATTGTAAGTGAGCAGCTACGGACATCAGCGCTACTCAGCGGTGGGGATGGTCGTGGGTCGCGGCGGCGGTAGTGATGGGGATGGTGGAAGGGGAACTGGCTTTGTCAGACAAGCATCGCCCAGCAGCTTTGGAGCTTTCTATAGATCTCTCTCTCCCTCCCATCTCTCTCTCTCTCTCTCTCTCTCTTTCTCTCTCCTCTCTCTGTCTCTGGTTTTTCGAGACAGGTTTCTCTGTGTATCCTTGGCTGTCCTGGAACTCTAGCTGCAGACCAGGCTGGCCTCGAACTAAGACATCCACCTGCCTCTGCTTCCCGAGTGCTGGGATTAAAGGACTGTGCCACCACCACATGGCAGAACCTTCATTCTGAACAGATCCTCTTCTTATTCTTCCTCCAGACCGATTCCCAGCCTGGTAGCACGGACAGCTCTCCACTGTCCCCTGCCCTCTTGGGTGTGGTTTGGACTTTTCTCAGCTGTGGATTACTCCTGGTGCTTTTCTTTCTGGTTTTCACCATTCGCTGCAGGAAGAACAGGTAAGCAGCCTCCTGCCTAGAGTCTTATCTAGGACTGTGAAGCCCAGGGTGCTGCCATCACGTTGGCACCGCCAGCAGCTAGCCAGCGTCCACAGGAACCTTGTCTGCCATACTCTCCACTATGCCTCTAGCATTTAGAAGAGATTGGCATAGGATGGGCGCTCAGGAAACGTGTTTGGTGGTCTTGGAAGGAAGGATGCTTAGATCCAGGTGGTGAATGCTGCCAAGAAAGTAACTGTGAAAAGCCTGTGAATTGGGGTTAGAGAGCTACAAGATTTCTATAATGTAAGCTAGAGCCCGTCAGCAAATGATACAAAGATACATTGTCTCCCATGTGATTTGCTCCCAGTAAACCAGTAGTTGAAAGCATTCAGGGGCAAGTCTTGAAACAAAAGAAACTGGGCTGGGGTTCCTGTCCTCAGCATCACAACACCAGGGGTGGTGATACTTGCCTGTAATCCCAGAGCTGAGGGAGGAAGGTTAGGTCATCCTTAGCTATAGAGAGCTTGATGTAGGCTCCTCCCTCCCAGCCAGTGCGATGGCTCAGTGGGAGGAGCCGTCAAGCCTGATGACCTGATTTTGATCCCTGGGATTCCCACATGGTAGAAGGAAAGAACTTGTTACAAGTTGTCCTCTGATCTACACACACACAAATAAAAATAAGATTTAAACTGCCCACCCCGAAAAAGGAAAGGAAGCCTTAACATGAGAGTTTCAGGACAGCCGGGGCTACTCAGAGAAACCCTGTCTCAAACAAAAAAACAAAAGCAAATAACTGTCTCTGACATGAACTCAGTGGCTGGCTCTTTGACCTCCCCACCCTCGAGGGAGGAGCAGCCTTGAGAGACCACAAAGGAGGACATTGCAGCCAGTCCTGAAGAGACCTGATAAGCTAAGGTCAGATGGAAGGGGAGGAGGCCCTCCCCTATCAGTGGACTTAGAGAGGGACAGGGAGGAGATGAGGGAGAGGGCTACAGCTGGGATACAAAGTAAATAAACTGTAATTAATATAAAAAATAAAAATGTAATAAAAAAAGTAAATAACTAAATAAAATCCCTCACTTGTTGAAGAAAGCACCAACTCTAGAGTACATTTTAAATTTCAGCGACAACATTGTCTGTTGAGGATAAATACCATAGAACACACATCTTGAGATGTTAGACTACAAAAGTGATCTGTGATCCTGGATACGAAGCAGCATGTTTTAATGAGGATTGGCGCTTTAATTGGGAGAGTTAGTAGTTTTGTTAGGATTGGCTAAAGTTAAATATAGTTTAAATGTTATGCTTTCAAGGATGACCTAGTGTTTTTCTTCTGACAAAGACCCATACTTTTTTATATGTTAATTTTCACAATGGGAGAGTTTTCAAACATTGGAGTAAAGATGACTGAAAGGTTAAGAGCTCTGGTTGCTCATCCAGATAACACAGATTTGATTCCTGGCTCCTACATGTCAGCTCACATCCTGCTGTAACTCCAGTTCCACTGACCCAATGCCCTCTCTCTGGCCTCTGAGGGCACCAAGCACACTTGTGGTAGACAGACACGCATGAAGGCAAAACACCCGTACACACATAAAATTAAACTAAATAAACTTAAAAATATCTATCAAGCATTTATACATCCTACTAAAGCAGAAACGCCTGCTGGGTGTGGTGGCTCACGCCTTTAATCCCAGAACTTGGGAGGCAGATGGATTTCTGAGTTCGAGGCCAGCCTGGTCTACAGATCAAGTTCCAGGACAGCCAGGGCTACACAGAGAAACCCTGTCTTGAAAGACAAAAACAGAAAACCAAAAACCAGAAACACCTGTGAGCAGTGCTGAAATAAAAATACCCATATTTCTGTCATTCCACTAAAGATGTTCTGCCTGTCTTCTCTGCAGTGGGAACATGACTTGGCAGAAAGATCATGGGAAGCACTGTAGAGCAAATTACCTTGCATGGTGAAGAAGTTAATGAGATCAGGCATTGAAGATGAAAGAACCCATTCTTTTTTATCTTCTTTTTTAACTTAAACATTTTTAAACTTATTGTTGGTTCTTTGTGAATTTCACATCATGAACCCCAATCCCACTCATCTCCCTCTCCCCACATACCAACCCTCCAGCCTTTAGACCTCTCTCCCAATGGAGGGGGGAAAAATCTCACTGTGGAAGCTGTAGTATGTCACAGTGTCCCACAGTACACACTTTTGTTTATATTTCTTCGCTTGCAAATGTTTTCTTGCAATGACTCGTTGGTCAACGGAGATCCCGTAGTTTTGGATCTGTAGGAACACCCCCCCACCCCTTTGGTGCCCTCCAGAAGTTCATCAATGGGGTAGATGTTGGTGTGGACCAATTCAAAGCCCTGGATCTGAGCCTGAGAGGTATCTGAGCTGGTCAGCACCCTCCTCCCACTTTCATACCCTCTGGGCCAGCTCACCAGCAACCCCCACAGCCAGAGTCAGCTGAAAGAACCCATTTTTACAAGTGCCTCACAGAACAATAAAATTTGTTCAAAGGAGCAACACCACAGTTGGATAATCCACTTCATTTTAGTTCTGAGGGTGTGTGTGTGTGTGTATCTGTGTCTGTGTGTCTGTAAGTGATTACACATAAATGCCACAGGAAGAAAAGTATGTTACTGGAACAAAAACAAAAATGATGTAATGATTAGGTTTAGTTGTATAGGTTGCATTTTTATTTTAAATTAAAATGAATGTAGCCTACAATAGAAAAGCAGTACAGACCTAGAAAATTTGTCCTGACTGCTGCTCGTATAGCCCTCCACCTAAGCATAGCAGACTCCCATTCTTTATAAGAACACATAGAACATTTACCAGGCCTAGGAAGATTCTAAGTTCTATACAAAGTTGTACTGAATTTTTAAAAAAGATTTACTTATTGTATATACAGTGTCCTGCCTGTATATATACAGGCAGGCCAGAAGAGGGCACCTGATATCATTACAGATAGTTGTAAGCCGCCACGTGGTTGCTGGGAATTGAACTGAGGACCTTTAGAAGAGCAGCCAGTGCTCTTAACCTCTGAGCCATCTCTCTAGCCCAGCTGTATTGAATTTAATATGAGGTATGGTGGCTCATCCTTCCAACCTCAGCAAAATAATCCAGAGCCAGAGTAGAACAAGTTTGAGGCTAGCCTGGGCCATATAGCAAGCTCTGGAACAGCTTAGACCCTGTCTGAAAAACAAAACAAATGAAACCAGGAGGAAGGAAGGAAGGAAGGAAGGAAGGAAGGAAGGAAGGAAGGAAGGAAGAAAGAAAGGTTCATACAGAGTATGTTCACTAAATATAATGGGATTAAATTGAACTCATAAAATCCTAAAATACACAGAATCTACTTAGAACACTTTAATAAAAACCATCCTCAGCAGGGCGTGGTGTCACACACCTGTAATTCAAGCACTCAGGGAGGCAGAGGCAGGCGGGATAGCTGGGAGTATCGAGGACTACAAAGCGAGTCCAAGGCTACACAGAGAAAGCCTGTCTCAAAAAACCAAAAATAAATAAATAAAAGACAAAGTAAAAATAGAAAGTCTCTTGGACAGATGGAAAATGAACACGCACCACACACATATGCAACCGCGTGTATGCATGCATTTGTGTCCTGTTATGTCTAGAAAACACCGTTCCCCTGAAATAATCTACCACCACTGGCTTTTATAATATTTCTAACCCCTCTTAGTCATAGACCTCTGAGCCTTGAGAAGAAAGACATGTAGAGCTGAGCACTCTCCACTCTTGTTTTCTGAATGCTGACCCGTTGTGAACCTCTGTGTGAATTGCCAACCACACAAAGAAGCTTCTCTGATGAAGGCTGGGTGGTGTGTTGATCTTTTGGGTATAGCAGTGAGTCATTGGGAGTCATTTTATTGCTATGTTGGTTTAGCGGAATAATAGTAGTAGCTTTTCCCCAGTGACCCACGACCTATCTAGCCGTAGGTTCTGACCGTCTCAGGGATAGGCTCTGTCTCATAGAGTGGGCCTCAGGTCCTCTTTTTCCTAAAGCGATTGGTTATACTCATAGCATTTGTGCCACCGTTGCACAAGGGAGCATGTCTTGTCATAAAGGTCAGTATTGCAGCTCACAGAATTCATAGTTAGGTGAGCTTGATAATTGCTTTCTCCCATGGTAGCATGAACTCCCAGCACCATGAAAGGTAACCAGTTAGCATAAAGCTTATAGTTAAGTACCAGTTAGATTTCTCCATGTTCAGTGGTTCAAATAAATGATGTCTTTAGCAATGGGGGCCCTTAAAAAGTACTTACTTCTAAAAAACAAACAAGCAAACAAAATTAAGATGACTTCATTCTTAGATAATCTGATTATATAGCATAGTCAAAGCAATCTATGTTTAAAACCAACTCAATTACAGTTACATTTCCCTCTTTACATATATCGGCAAGCTGATTTATATGAAGTACCTAGAACACCCAACACAGATTTCAAAAGGCATAAAATCACTAGGAACCATCTGATTTCAGGACTTACTACAAAAACACACGGTAATAACGTCAGTCTGGGACTGGCAAAGACAGACGTGTATTTGTTGTTCTCCAGATTTCAGCAGGGGCCTGGATTTCAGCTTCTAGAAGGAAAACGGGTTTCCATTTTTCTCGGGAGCTGCTTAGACAGGCGAGGCCGACACAACACGCCAGATGTGGAAAGGCTTTCCACAGAGTGTGACAGTTTAGCTCTTGTAGAATGAAATCACCAGTGGCAATGGAAACTCCAGCGTTCCAAAGCCTATGGTGGCGATACCAAAGTGTTACAGCCCTTGGTTAAACTGCTGTGCTGAACACAGCAGAGGTGCTGGTGAAAGCCCATGCCTGGTGAGCTTGCAGCCAAGACACAGGCCTGTCGAGGCCCAGGCTCAGTGGGCCAGAGGGCAGGCCCGGCAGGAGATAAATGATGAAGCTCAGGCAGCCATGGTGGAAGGCTGAGCACACAACAAGCCAGCATGTTTATTTGAAAGCAGGGATTTATAAACCCTGG